TCATAATTGCTGACACAGTCTTCACTTCACACTGATACACTCTTCAGGAGCTTGTTCACAGCTCTTCAGAATGCTTGCTAAAAACACAAAATACTCAAGGTTTTTGTGTCCCTTCTACTTGTGGGAATAAGACTCCACCATAGATTTTTGCCTTCAAACAAACCAAACCACAATTGAGAACCAGAAAACGTGATACAATGCTCCTTCAGAAAATCTCAAGGAGTGCTTTAGAGGATTATGTTCTCACAGGTTCTTTTTTTCAAAAATCTAAGAGTTCACCAGAAAACATATGCTGAGTGTTTTTTTTTACCCAAAGGATGGGGTGATTCCACACGAAAAGAAGTCTGAATTGTATGAGCGGTAAATGGTCATTAAGATAGTACTTCATCGTTTGTTACAACAGGGAAAAGCAAGAGTATGTGCAGATAAGGAGGTGGTGATCAAAAACTTCTATAAATACAATTAACCAACCTGTTTGGAGTCTGTGTACTCCGGCAATTTAGACTCCACTTTGCCGGTGAATAAAAGTGGGTATTTGTCAACTCCACAACTTTTGCTGCGACAAGGCAAAAATTATCTCGCTCGATTTCTGAAGAGGTATTGAAATAAATTGGCAGTTAGGGTTAGGATATAGCCGCGATGTCTGCCTGTCTTTATGTAGCCCACAATGGAAGACTGCTGGACACAATGGAGAGCCCCCAACGTCGGGATCGTCGTACACTATTAAAATCATTACGGCACAAAGGCAATACAAGAACACAAAAGTGAACAAATTTGTCGACAGATTACGAACGGGATTAGCGGAGCCAGTCTATTGGAAACACATCAACTCCTGAAAACAGAATATACCGACAACAGACACGCAAGTCAGCGTGACGCTAGAAATGGGAAATACCACTGAAATCTCATACAACATAAGAGGAAATGTTTAAAGTAATATTTTCCCCCCGCCTCGCAAAAACATAGGAGGATAAACAGCAAACACAATTATAAACTTATTACATTGTAACATTGGTGTGAGACCATGATGGTAAGAAATGGTGAGAACACAAATCCCGCGATGGGCCTGCGAGGGATTTTACTGGCTTTGATAATGGGTTAAAACCACTCAAAGGGTTTCAAACTGCCTGTAGTTATGTCTGGTTTGTCGCTATAGTCCAGGTAATCCGACAGATTTCAATACAGATAGTAAATTAATTAGCGTTAATGAGTTAGACGGAACACGTCACTGGCAGCGAAAATGCGGGCCAGTCCGTTTTAGTTGTACAATGGCACTACACGACTGCGTTTATAAATGGAAAACAAACGCTTAGAAAGACGGAATTCGAGAGTTATTGTTGATTTTGGGATAAATGTTGTATACAGAACATTAAGGTCATGGCAGTATGAGCACAAAAACTCCGTAAATTGCGACTTGGTCTTTCACTCAATATGACTTACTAAAAAGTCAAGTGGCCCATCCAGAAAATAACGAAATGCCCACTTACAGAGCGTTATCTGACCAGCCGACAACACGATGACGTAGCCGACAACACGATGACGTAGTCGACAACACGCCGATGTTCTTGAATCCTAGAGAAGCAAAAGTCTTTTTTTTTCTCCACGTTTCAGCCCCGAGGAAATGACGGTCAGACGAGAAACCGCTGTGATCCCGCAGAGCTATCCGTCGTCAGTATGTCTCGGTTATGTGACACGGGGGCAATCCGATGCTTGTTTCGTAATGCAATACCAGTCAATGATACCGGAAAATTGCTGGTACCACTCCTGCTCCAAGAAGACTATGTCAGCTGACAAAACCCGCTGTTATATTCGTTTTTCAAGAACAAGAATGAAGAATATCGACGAACAATTTTGAATTTAAAAAAATGTTGCAATCGTCGTAAAAATTGTGTTCACAAATTTGTCGGCTGCGCTTTTTAGAATTCTCGCGCCAACTTCCAATATTGTAACAGCGCCGGTTTACGGTAAACTGTTATTATTTCTCAGTGTTTGGGTTTAGAATTTGTTGACTTTAGTGAAGTGTGAAAAACCAATATGATGCCGTCCTCACAGCTATTATTTGTACATTCATTCAGTGGGCTTGAACAAACAGAGGGGAAAAAATGAACGCTTGTTGAAAAAAAACACGAAAAAACAGAGATGAAAATAAAATAGAAGTATTCTTTTTATTTTTGTTAAAGCGATTTTCAATCGTCCATTGGGCCCGTGTACTTAGATCAGCGTTTATTATTAATAATTTTGCTAACTTCATTTTACATCGTTCAACGCCAATTAAACAGCGGGATACTGAGCTAGTCCAAACATAACAAGTCTGCAGTATGTGTATACGCCCAGAAACGTGGTTCGCGACTGAACAACGACGGAGACATCAAAAAAGTGGCCAGCTATGGAATTGTATGGAGAAGCGAGACACGGAGCAGGGCGACACACCGGCACGATACACGTTGACTGGGGGCAGCATTGCATGGCAAGGTGGGAGGGGCTATCAGACGACATATAATACGAGAACGTATCTAAACGGAGCTGGTGAACGGTAGCAAATCATGCGGGCGAAGCAATGCTGATTGGTTGAACTCCCTAGCCTCTCTCTATAATTATCGGTTGAACGGTGCAAGGCTGACAGTTGTAATTGTGCCAGTGACGTGTCACGATAACTTGTTTTTCGTTGACACATTTCTGAGAAAGCCGATTGAAAGATAAACACTACGGACCAACTGTAGTACTCGCCGAGTTACATGCATGGAAAACAGTTGACATATGCCGATCGCTAAGAGAACCGGTGAGCTGTACCAGTGTCTGCGTCAGTGATATCACGGTGCTTGTTTGTATCCACTGCAAACGTGTAGTTGCAGCCCCTACGGCGGTACACCGACTGAAAACAGGCCAGCTACTTCATTGTTATTGTACACTGCAAGCTGCAGGGACAATTTAAAAAAAATCACGATGATGGCAGCACAGTCTAAGTTACTTTTTCAGCTGAATAAGTACATGAACGAACGAGTGACCGCTCGACGGCAGAATATTAACAAGACAATACGAGAAGTATGCAGAGTGGTCACTGATGTACTGAAGGAAGTAGAGGTGCAGGAGCCCAGGTTCATCAGCTCGCTGATTGAGACCGAAAGCGGACGATTTGAAGGTTTGGAAGTTATATCACCTAACGAATTTCAAGTCGTGCTGTATCTTAACCAAATGGGAGTGTTTAACTTTGTCGATGATGGTGCTATCCCCGGATGTGCAGTACTTAAACTGAGCGACGGTCGCAAACGTTCCATGTCGCTGTGGGTAGAGTTCATAACAGCCTCCGGCTATCTATCCGCTCGTAAAATACGATCCCGGTTCCAGACTCTCGTAGCCCAGGCCGTAGACAAGTGCAAGTACCGTGATCAAGTGAAAGTGATCGCTGACACGACAGAGGTGAAGTTACGTATCCGCGAACGTTTTGTGGTGCAGATAACACCGGCTTTCAAGTGCGGTGGTATCTGGCCTCGCAGCGCTTCACACTGGCCACTTCCACACATACCCTGGCCAGGACCAAATTTAGTCGCCGAGGTGAAAAACGAAGGATTTGATCTGTTATCCAAAGAAAGTATCCACCAAGCAGGGAAACAATCATCGGCAGAAGGGGACGCGTGGGTGCTGTCGTTTCTAGAAGCAGAAAACAAGCTCCTACAAGGAGGCAGTCGCCGTAGATGTCTAAGTATACTGAAGACTTTGCGTGACCGGCATTTGGATACGTCCGGGCATGCAGTCGAGAACTATCACATGAAAACATTGCTCCTGTATGAATGTGAAAAACATCCACGTGAGATGGACTGGGATGAGAGCTGTCTGGGCGATAGAATAAACGGTATACTGCTACAGCTCATATCGTGTTTACAGTGTCGTAAGTGTCCGCATTTCTTTTTGCATGGGCTAGACCTATTTCAGGGCAGAAGCCATTCATCTCTGGACATTGCTGCAAAACAGGCTTGGAGAATAGCTAGAGAAATTTTAACCAACCCTAAATGCTTGGACAAATTATGATTTTTTCCCTTTACAAAAAAATTAGCTTGGCTGTAAAATATGAATCACGATCAACTTGAATGCAACGGCCGACTTGAAACAAAACGCAAGTGCATGTGGCGTATTAAACGCATTGTGTGAAACTGAGATGCACACATGTAGGCGTCTTTCTGTGCACTCTGGTACAAAAAAAACACAAAAACATTTAGTTTGTGTTGTACCATGTCAAAATAGAACTGGTACTGCAACAGTTTCCGATACGGTTTATGACTATAATGTATTTTTTAGAGGTGAACGGGACATCGAATATTTTCCCCCATTATGATGTGCCAAGACAAATAAGCTTATCATATATTGTGAATATATAGACAAATCTTATTTAATTCCCACTTTGCTTCATATTTATAATGGTATGTTGGGTTATGTGTTATAATAAGATTTTAACTGTCTTCTAAATATTGTATCAAGAGTCAATTATATTGCTGTACGGCTGTTATTTTATCACACTTTCCAAGTGTTGTTTTAATTTTTAAAAATTCTGGAAAATATACCATGAAATGGAAAAATCGATTTGGTTGTTTATGTAGTTGTGTGTTCATAACTAGTACTTAACGAGTGTACATTTGCACCTTGATGTGACATGTACGTCTACTTCAGAATTCACTCGCAAACACGTGTTACAGTATGTTGTGTTATCAAGCGAGTACATTTAACACAAAAAGGGGTAGTCACAGTGAGCTTCCGTCTAATATCGGTTAGGTATATTTTGTACTGACGGCTTCATCCAGTCCAATTCACAGATACCAGCCGAATAAAATGTATCGCTATATTTACATACAGTTTTAAAATAACGGACATTTCTGGGGTCATAATTATGTTTGTAATAATACGGTAGTCTGTTTACAGAAAGTCATAATTATGGGAGCAAAAATAGCTACAAATAACGTCTTTTACACGACTTTTCTTTGATACAATTTGTTCCATCAACAGGTTCAAAATAAAGTAAACCCTAGCCGCCAACACGACAATATTGAATATAATCGAGCCCCGGTTGCACGTTTAGTGCTTCACGACGCCGTTAAACAGTATTTTCATAAACGCCGTGGGTGGAAGCATAAGTGCGTGGTACCTTTAAAAACGCAACTCGCGGCAACACATTTTATATTCTTCATCTAATACATGTTTAACGATATTCACAAGGAAGATATGGCATGGCGAAAGCACATTGTATCATCGAAGTTTTGTGACGGCGTTTACGACCAACCCACCCCGTGCGCGAAACAAATCTAACATTGAACGATAAGTACTGTGTGGTATTTTAAAAACAATACAATTTCTCATAAAATAATCGAGAGACGAATTTCCACTATTGATGTAACGAACATTCGTTTAACACTGTTGACGATGTTGTAGGTAAGGACAACACCAACGACTCGCGCATTATACATTTAAACCACTCCTTTTGATCGACGGGTTACAAGCATCAGTGCTCCAAAACACTGTAACATTGAGTCATAAACTACAGAATATAAAATACATCCAATAACTGTTTTTTTTAAAAGGGGCTACAGATGTAAAGAGGATATGCCGGCGACCCGCGACCCCACTTGCCTGCGACGGCTGACTGTATTGATGTCAACCGTATACTGCATCCTCGCTAAAAACCCTATTATTTTGAAAACAAGGAAAAAAATATTATCGGCTTATACGAAATGCTGTCTAATAGATGGTTTATATTTAGCAGTAAATTTTCCACGCGATATGCAGTAGTAAGCAAATGCAGTATGTCTCAATTTAAAACGAACAATAACAGAGAATTTATCCACTAGCTGTTAAATTTAATATTATTTTCGTCCCAAAGGGCTACATTATTTTTTTTTTTAATTCCCTAATTTCACACGCATGCAGCTTTTAATATACCTTTCCATGTCGTTTTTCGATGTTAAACGGGGCAGGTAGTATGCGTCTATACCAGTTTATTGTGCAATGTCATTCAGTTCGCTCGATTACTTCGTAAACAAACACAATAGGGAAGTTGTAAGTTACTGTTTGGCTTAAACAAGCTCCTGACAATAAAAAATCCTGAAATGCAGCATCTTCCCCCGGTGAATGAGCGGCAAACAAACAAAAGTGTGAACCTGGTTGCTCTAACCTACACTGACAAAGGAAAACAAAGATACCGACCAACCTGTGTTTAATAGAGAGGTCAGCTCTTGAAAATACAGTCAATAATGGACCATATGTGTATTTAATGAACAGCAAAACACACAACATTTACATGCGATGATTTCATAATTGTCGTTTGTTACACCAGCTTGCTATTATAGTCAACATTACATGTACTGTGCATTGGAGCATTCTACTGCACAGTATCTAGTAAGCCGCGTGGACTTGTATCGAAATACAACAAGTTGTATTTATTGAGACGAGTTTCCGTCGACCAAATTGTATGAAACAAAGTATTTTTTGGAGAATGCGGTCTTTATATAAAATGAATTAGATATATATTATAGTTTACTATTGTTAAATAACTCGGGACAAAATTTAATATTTATTCGAATAATCAGACGCAATGATAAAATCGACAAATGTGTACGAGCACGACGTATCATCCTGTAATTCGGGAGTATGGTAACTTGTCGATCTCTACCGTTTATGGGCGTCTTATTGGTGGGTTACGACTCTCACTGACAGCAACACGCAGGACTGATTATACGTTATTTGAAATAGACAATAGCTCGAATGATGATTTAAATAATATTGTCTGTATGTGGTGAGGTGAGGTGAGGTACCGGAATCGTACAAGTAGGGAGTGCAAGTCAGTTATATGATATTCGACCACGTTAGTGACCTGGAATTGTATCGGGATCATTTTATTGTCAATTCTTGATAATATACACAAAAACAATAGGGATATTTCACTTAATAATGTCAATGTTTGCTTGTCTGTTTGTGTGGACACTGTATATAGTCTGTGGAGGTCTGGTCCAATATTATGATGACGTCAGTATCTGACGTGAAAACACGATTGATAAGTCAGCCATGTGTTCCCATCATTCTGATTCGTTATCAACAATTCCTGTTTTTGCTTGTTTTTTTCTTCTTCTTTAAATCTTGGCGATTTCAGCGAAACGTATGCTGTTTAAGATTCAATACCACATTTTCTGAGTAGCCCTTCATGTGACAATGACGAATGTCACAGAAAAAAAGAATCTCGACCAGCAGAGTTTGAAAAATAAAAAGAATTCGAAATGATGTGTGCATTGACTGAATATATACATGTACAAAAAAAAACACGAACACGCATAACAGCGAAAAGATGCTATCAATGGTATTTCCGGTGATCTGCACTCAATACAGACAAACATGGCACTCTGTCCACACAATTGAATTCTCAAGTAGAAGTGTAAGATGGCCATAAACTCGTGAAAGATGTTTTTTTCTTATCGACCTCATCAATTTATACATCCGTAGCGCGAAATGAGCCAGGGAACACTGGGAAGGCTTGATAAACAAACGCCGAACGCTGGGAAGGTTTGATAAACAAACGCCGATAACGTTATAAATACGGCGCTGACCAGTCAACACATCATGTATCTGCATTATTCACTCACATATGACCTTTCAAATTGTAGATGAACAATTAATGGAAATATTAGTTCAGTCTATGATTCCACCTAGAAAGGGCACCCTGACTGGATTTAATCACTTTAAGTGTTTGTCATTCGTTAAACAAATCACAACCCGGTTTGTTCAAAGTTTGTCACGCCGAGCACTGATATAGCTGTTTCCATGGCTATCCTTAAAAACAAGAACAATCACTCTTAGCCGGTGAACACGGCTCTAATTGTGATAAGTTCACGTCACAAATTACCAATATTAATAGTATTAATGCACCCATCAATGACAACTCATCTGAGTAAACACTTCCAACGATTTCCCGTTTCAGCAAATCAAAAGGTTTCCGTTATTGCTGACCCACTACACTATATACCAGTTACTCATGTGGTAGACATACACACAACTGGAAACTGCGTACGTGATGTCCTATATACGAACGAGTTTATTTAGCAGAATTCGATGCTCTCATAAGAGAATCGAAAAATCAAAATACGATGATAGATTACGCTATATACGTTGCACTGCACACAAACAATGTATGATAATTACAATTTGCACCGACCGACGGTGTACATATTAAAAATGTAAGACAATTTGGAGGTGAAATGGGGAATACTAAACCGCGTATGTAGTTGATACACAGTAACGAATCGAACATAGAGCATGAAAAATTTACACACACACTTTACAGTCGATGTTAATTAAAAAAATGCCAGAGAGAAAACTTAAAAATGAAAGAATATATACATCTACGTAGGAATAATTTGCACTCATCCGTATTGAGAGTTGGCATTAAAAAAATGAAAAAAATACATAACACACTTTCTACAATCGATGTGAACTACAAAAATGCTATAGAGAAAACTAAAAAAAAAGAATTTGCACCCATCCTCGGGTTGGTATTAACACACACAGATAACGGTTATAATATTCAAATTACAGTTCACATATGCATACTGTGTTGTCCTATGACCGAGTTTTGTTTACGTAACCCATTCGATTCACAGGACGAGTTGAACTAAAATTATATCTTGTTGGGACATGCAAGGAACAGATCGACTGATTGCCGGTCAAGCGACTTACTTAGTAGTTCGTCTGTGAGACGCGAACGGTTCACTGTACAGTGTTATGAAACCGACGTCTGAGTGTAAACTAACACAGTCGATGGACTGAGTCGGCCGAACACGGCAATGTCGAAGGACTGAGTCGACCGAACACAGTAATGTCGATGGACTGAGTCGGTCAAACACGGCAATGTCGATCGACTGAGTCGGCCGAATACAGTAATGTTGATGGACTGAATCAGCCGAACACGGCAATGTCGATGGACTGAATTGGCCGAACGCGGCAATGTCGATGGACTGAGTCGGCCGAACGCGGTACTGTGTCAGTATAATTAGCTCCTATAAATTGGCATGAAAATTAACAATAATCGTGAAAACCTCGAAAATGTAGGATTAGAAAACACGCCCGTACATATGCAGAATTTGAGACACGTAGCCCCACACACAGAACCCACTTTCAATGATGATAGCAGTTTGTCTCTCCATCAATGTGAAATAATTACACTCGGCCTAGTTTTGAGTGCCCCCTCGGGACATATCACATTATCTAATGTACTGAAGAGGAGTAAGGGATAAAAAGCAGCGATAAAATATACCCAAATCATAACAA